GATTCAATTGTATGTTATCTGTAGGAGACACACTTTAGATTTGAACTCTTTCAGAAAATAAAAGAGAATACTTCCCAACTCATTCTATGAAGCCAATATTGCCCTGATACCAAAACCAGAAAAAACAACACAAGAAAAAACTACAGGCCAATGTCTCTTATGGATATGGATGCAAAAATCCTCAAAAAATACTAGCAGAGTAAATCCGTCAGCATATTAAAAGAATTATACACCATGATCAAGTTGGATTTATCTCAGGAATACAAGGTTGGTTTAATATCTGAAAGTCAATTAATGTAATATACCATATTATAATAATAGAATAAAGTACAGAATCACATGATCACTTTAAAAGACACAGAATAAGCATTTGACAAAATTCAGTACTTCTTCATTTTGAACACCAAGTATTTGGACAAACTAGGAATACAAGGAAACATCCTCAGCTTGATAAATGGCATCTACAAAAAAGCCACAGCCACATATTTAATGGTGAAAGACTAAGATTCTCTATGTAAGATCGGGAACAAGACAAGGATGTGTTGTTTTTGCTACTTCTATTCAACATTTTGTTGGATGTTTAATCTAGGGCAGTTAGACATGAGAAAGAAATAAAAGGTATCCAAATGGTAAAGGAAGAAATTAAAAAATCTCTACTTGCAGATGACATAATCTTCCATGTAGAAGATCCTAAGGAATCCACAAAAAAAGCTATTATAAATAGTAAACAAATTCAGCAAGTTTACGAGATACAAGACCAATATACAAAAATGAATTGCATTTCTATTCAGTAGCAATGAATAAACAGAAAATGAAATTGAGAAAGTAATTCCATTCATAATAGCATCAAAAAGATCTTTAAAACCTCAGGAATAAATTTAACAAAAGAAGTGCAAAACTTACACTCTGAAAACTACAAAGTTCTGTTAAGGTAGTATGTCACTGAGAGTGGCAGAATAGGGAGCTCCAAGAATCTTTCCCTCCACTGTAATAACAACTATGCTGGCCAAACCTGTCAGAATCAACTTTTTTGGAACTTTGGAATTTAATAAAAAACTTAGAACATCTGGGGGAGGTGCTTAATGAAGAATAAATCCGCTCAGTGGGGGGAAAAGTCCGCAAGTTTGGTTTCCCGCCCAACAACCCCCAATTCCCAAGTTGGCAATGGCCAAAGGGAACAGCGGCCCACGTTCCTAGTGTGGCTTGTTGCTGCTAGAGGAGGCAACACACACTTTGTTCTCAAAGCATTGTGATTGTGCATTTTGACCTCGCTTGGCTTTGTGAGGAATTGGCTCAGGGGCTTACCTTTGTTTCACCCACTGCAGAACTCTCTTGGGACTGGAGTGGTTTCCCAGGGGTGTTTGTGGAAATTGTTTAAAGGCATGCACCACCCTCAGCTGTACTACCCGCAGCTGCCCAGGGCTAAGGGCAAACAGACAGGGCAAGCAGCAGACAGACATAAAAGCTTAGAAGAGACTAAGGAAGGGGATACGTGGGGGAATAGGGCTTTTAAATGCTCCCACGTATACTGGGGAATCCAGGAGGCCACACACAGGCCCAGTGCTAGATGTATGCTCCGAAAACACTCGAGAAGACCGTGTGCTTTCACCTCTGACTGTGTAAGCAGGAAATGAAGGCTAAGGCAGAATTGAAAATAGCTTGGCTAAGCACTGAAAGAGTGCCCCAACTCAGAGCCAATCTGCGAAGACACAGAATATTTTTCTTCTGTCTTTGTTTCTAGGTGTTTAGGGAAATCTCTGTCAAACCACTAGCTGACCACTAAGCTAATGGAACAGAGATTTCAATGATCGCACATGACAAAAAAATACAATCTTTACAGAAATAGTTTAGAAAGTTACTAATCAAATAAGTAACTAACAGGCAGCAACAGCAAACCCTGGATAAGGGGAAGATTTTCTTTCTAGAGACATCACACCATAGTATTCAAAATGTCCAATTTTCAACAAAAAATACAAGTTATGCAAAGAAACAAGAAAGTATGGCATTCACAAGAAAAAAATTAATAGTAACTATTGTAAAGTCTTCCGGTGGCGAAAGAAACAGACAGAGAGAGAGAAAGAGTGGGGCCAAACAACATGGCTTTATTATGCCCTCCTGGATGAAATTCTGGGGTCCCAAGAGAGGGCGGCCTGAGAAGTCGCATCGTTTTGAAGGGGGTGAGACCTTTTATACCGTTTGGGCTGGCCTAGGGACTTTTGGTGGGAAGAGCTTGGTTTTTTTCCACTGTGGTCTTTGTCTGTTCTTGAGAAACAGGAGGGGCTGGTGGTACCTGGCAGTCATTTTTAGTGGGTCTGGTCAGTGAGCCTGTTCTCTTTTTTTTTCTCTAGGGAGGGGAGGGGGGCCCACCACCAGCCTTACAACTATCCCTGAGGAAGCTGAGACACTGGACTCACTAGACAAAGAGTTTAAATCAACTATTTGAATATACTCAAAGAGCTAAAGGAAACCATGGACAAAGAACTAAAGGGGCTGGGTGCAGTGGCTCACACCTGTAATCCCAGCACTTTGGGAGGCTGAGGTGGGAGGAGCACTTGAGCCCACGAGTTTGAGACCAGCATGGTCAACATAGTGAGACCCCTGTTTCTACAAAAAAAAATTTTTTTTAATTAGCTGGGCATGGTTGCACATGCTTATAGTCTTGGCTACTGGGGTGGCTGAGGTGGGAGGATTGCTTGAGCCCAGAAGTTCAAGGCTGCAACGAGCTACGATTGGGACACTGCACTCTAGCCAGGGCAGCAGAGCAAGACGCTGTCTCAAAAAATAAAAATAAAAAAAGAACTAAAGGAAAACAGGAGCAATGTCTCACCAAATAGAAAACACAAATAAGGAGACAAAAGTAAAAAAAAAAAACACATACAAATCCTTGAGCTGAAAATTTCAATAACTTCTTGTACAATTTACCAATCTCACTCTGAAATGGTGTTTCTAGTTTCCAAAGTACTTCCACGCATCCTCCTGCTCCTCTTGGAAGACCTTTTAGGTTAGCAGAACAAACAATATTGTCCCTATTTTATATAAGAAGGATTCAAGGGTCACCTAAATTAAGATTTACTTCAGTTTACCAGGTTTGTATGTGGCACAGTAGAACTAGTGCCAGGGAGTGTGGTGTAGTAGTTAGGAGAACACGCTCTGGAGTCAGATTGCCTGATTATGTTCTACCGTCTGCTAATTATAATATATCACTTTGAGCAAGCCACTTAACCTCTTTCCTCATCTGTAGAGTGGACATATTTATAGTCTCTATCTCATCAGGTTGTTCTGAGGAATAATCAAGATACCATATACATTCCTTAGCTGATGCCTAGCAAACACAGTAAATGCTTATTACATGTTGGCTTAAATTATTGTACTGATTGTTCTAATTGATGCTTTTCCAACTATACCATGATGCTTTTATAGTTACTCATTTTCATCCCTGTAACTTTCTAGGATTACCTTTGTCTTAATCTTTCTGTTCTCTGAACATTAACAGCAGCTTGTCTTCACCACACAGTTTAGTCATTATGATGCTGGTATTACAGACTTTAGCACATGTCTAGTATATGCCTAGATTTTATGTCTTTTAAAAAAATTATCTACCAATCCTTGCATAGTATCTTGCCCCTGAAAAAGATAGCTACCCCTGAAAATTCAGCTAGGTGAATTATTTCTAGCTGAAGTGAAGGCTTTGTGGAGAGAGTAAAAATGATATTCCCTTTGAAATATCTGTTGAATTCAGTGGATGAAGAGACCTGAAGGTCGAGAAGCTACATTAGCAAAGTCATAGTAGTTAAAAGTACAGCATACTCAGGACACATGTATTAAATTAAAAATGCCTTAGCTGGGCATGGTGGTTCATGCCTGTAATTCCAGCACTTTGGGAGGCTGAGGCAAGAGGCTCACTTGAGCCTAGGAGTTTGAGACCATCCTGGACAACATAGCAAGATCCTGTCTTAAAAAAAAAAAAAAAGCATGAAATGAAACACCCAACTTACAAGTTTTGGTGTGGTCATTATGTTTATGTCATCTGTCACTAGATGGAGTCCATGAGACCAGGGAACTTTTGGTTAGACTTTTCTATACCTCTGTGACTTTGAAAGGGAGAATAATACTTAAAAAATTCACAAGTAGGTTTGAGTAGCAGATTTTTGAGGTCTAGTCTTTTTAAAGTTTTATTACTATTTTTTTTTTTTTTAGAGACAAGTTCTCACTATGTTGCCTGGGCTAGCCTTGAATTCCTGGGCTTAAGTCATCCTCCTGCCTGAGCCTCCTCGGTAGCTGGGACTATAGGTAGAAACCAGTGCACCTTGCAAGTGGCAGAATTTTGGATTTGCCTTTTAAACAAAATCATCAGTTTGTAAAACTACAATAAGTCTTTTCAATTCTTTACGTTCCTGCACTCCAAAAATAATTTTAAAACCACATTTTAATATCAGTCCTAAATCTTTCCGGTACTAAGAGTGTTTTTAATTTTCTTTATTATTGAATGTCAATTAAAAAGTTAAGTCATTATCATCTGTTCCAGAGCCCCAATATTCAGAAACTCTTGATTTCAATCCAGTGATGCATTTTCTCCCCATGAGCTTCCTTTCAAATACCAATAAAAACAGTTGTTGCATTGTTTACTAAATGTCAATTCTTAGCATAGCACAGCCCATACCTGCATTGCCAAAACCTAACACGATATGAGGCATCATGAGACAAAGGCTGGGATAAGCAATTTTCTTCATCAAGCTTGTCAAAAGGTAAGAAGCCTGAGTCTAATAATAGATAACAGTGCTGGTGAGTATTCCAGTCACAAGCTTCCTTTGCTTTTTATTTTGAGTAGAGACTGGGCAGTGGGAAAAGAGCAGATGAACACATGAAGTGGTTACAGAAAGGATCTTGGGGACTTTCCAGGCCTCAAAGAGAATGCAGTTAACTTGCTCAGTTAGTCTGTGTGCAAGGCAGTATGTGGGCAAGGTATGATCTAATTCCTTTTTTGTGTCTTTCTACCACAGCACATGCCCTTATAGTCGGCCTCCCTTCGGCTATGGAAATTTTCCAAGTTCAATGCCAGAATGCCTTGGTTATTATGAAGACAGGTACCAAAAACACGAAGCTATGTTTTCAGCTTTAAATAGAGACTATCCTTTTAGAGATTACCCAGATGAACGCACACACAGCGAAGATTCTCGGAGTTGTGAGAGCATGGATGGGACCTCTTACTATAACAGTCACGGCCACAGTGGGGAAGAGTACTTAAACCCCATGCCACAGCTGGACATCGGAGCCTTGGAGAACGTCTTCACAGCCCCCACGTCAACCCCCTCTAGCATCCAGCAAGTCAATGTCACTGACAGTGATGAGGAGGAAGAAGAAAAAGTGCTCAGGAATTTATAATTTTAAAACAAATATGCACAGAAAATAAACATTTCTTAAAATATATTCTGGGTCGGTTGGTGTGAGAAAAAAAGCCTAGTATGCTTTGCTGAGAGTTTTCAGCCATGATTTGAAGAGTCAACACCAAAAGCAATTTGTCTTCATACAGTTTTGATCAGAGTCCTGATGTGTTATCGCAGGAATATTTAAGATATGAAATAGTTTATTTGAATGGCTGAGATTTGCATCAACGTGTATTATCATTACTTTATCTTGGAACGTGCAAAATACTGAAGGATCACAATTGTTTGTGAGGGGAAAGGGAATATATATCTGGCACAAGTGTGATTTGTATTTTATCTCAGGATATGTTTATTTGTTTTCCTTAAATGATTCTTTGGTGTTTATGAAATACTTACGAATGTTGTCAGTTTTTATGTAACATTTTGAAAATATTTTGATAACATTTAGCAGTACTGGGACTTGGTTACTAAATTTAATTTACACTAACAACCAATTATAAGTTGCAAATGTGTTTTAATGGCACCTGGGTAATTCCTTCAGCTAAATTTAGTCATTTCTGTTCCTAAACATTTTTATCATCATTTTAGAATATTTTTTTCCATTTGGTATGCATTTGTTCTATTTTTGTTATAATTAAATAAACATAGATAAAATTGTTCTTGTTGGATGTTTTCTGTTTGGGATATAGAAATAAGCAAAATGAGTATTGTTCATGGAAGGTTGTTTTCCATTACACATACAGACATTTATTTTTACCTAATAGCCTCCAGAATTGTGCAGATCCTATTAGCTTTCGTGAGACTTAAAAATGTATCAGCAACGATGCACATGAATTCTAATGCCATTTCCAAACTCTTTACACATGTGTACATGTGGCTTACGCACACCACAAAATGGTAGAGCTCTTCCCGATTTGGTCAAGCAGTTGTCTTGAAAACCATGGAATCAGTTTAAGAACATGTGGAATTTATTGAATTCACAATGAATGAAAAAACCCTACTTGCGATGTAACTGCTTGGTGAGTGCCCACTTACAGATAGAGAAGATCTTTCTAGAACAGTATCAAGACCACCAGAGTTGGGTGGGATCACGGTAAAAGACAGATCTACATGGCACAAAATGAATTGATAATGAGAAATCACCATAAACCCCAATACACTTTTTCCTCAATGATCTGTATAATTTATGCACATTGAGATCTTTTTATTTAAAACTGTGTGGAAATTGTGTATGGAAATCTGTTCTAAGCTTCCAACTTCTTCCTTCACTAAACCTGTATTTGTTTCTTAAAGGTTGTTAATGTAATACATTTCATCATCCCTCTACTACTTATTGTACGTAACATTTCCTCCTCCTAATAAAAATTTGGTTTTCATATTTTATATTCTTTATTACTATACACAACAATGCCATTTTGAGGTTGTTAAAGAGAAAAACTTGAATTTCTTGGTGATAGTAAGTAAATACTATCTTACTTCACATCTGAACTAAAAACACACTTGGTTGTCTCCACATTTACCATGAAGGAGAAATATATACAACAATTTGACCCATTTTACCTCATCTCAGTTTAATAGCACCTTTGTGACTAAACTGGGCGATGGATCGAGGCTTGGGTGTGGCCAATCAGCCAATCAGCATCTCAATGGCACCGAAAGCTGTAATGCATTCTCTCAGAACTATAGCTGGAGGGCTGCTGGTGCTTATTTCATCCTTAGGCTATTTTCCATGCGTAGGACACAAGTCACGGCGACAAGTCGTTGGAATGTGGGGAGGGTCTTAGTCTCCAACATCTCCCCCTATCTTTATTAATATGAGGGCGCGAAGTTTACACAGTTGGTGAGGAGCCTCGTCTAGCTACGCGAGGCCTCTGGACCAGCCACTCCAAATATACAGATCCGCATCTGGCGATCGAAATGTCGTGAGAGGCTTGTTCATAGAGCTACGTGTAGGGGGCTCCAGCATCCGGCACTTGCTTGTTTATGAAGTGTGCCCCCTGGTGGAGCTGTGACCCGACAAATTCCTGTCATGAGGAGTTACCTCACTGTGCCTGGCAGGGGTGTGCCACCTGGTAACACGGCTGTGCGCGAT